AGGAGGATTTATCCTTGATATCATGATGGCATCTGAAGTTCCCGTCTTGCCAGAAAGAAAAAAATGACACAAAATTTATAACCACCTGAAGCTACTGCTTTCCCATTTTCTTTCCTTGACCCCACTTCAGGTCTTGACTCAGTTGCATTATTGGAAATCCAGCTATTCCAGAAGGGATGTAAAAAAGAGAAGTGCTGATGGGATGATTGGAGATGAAGGCTGAAGGGGCAGTGGTGCCCAGCAGAGGGGTGGCTGGCCAGGCTCTGGAGTGGGCAGGCTGTGGTCCTGAGGTGGGAGTCGGGCAGTGTGTCTGTGGCTGTGAGCCAGGCTTGAGATCAGACTCCTGGCTTCCAGCCCTTGCCCTGTGTTCATTATTTAACTTCTCTTTCACTTTCTGTCTTTATAAAATGTCGAACACAGTCACATCCCTGATTTGTGTGGTTTTATTTGAAAGATTATTTGTAAAATAATTCAATTTATGATAAAATATTTAGTGCAAGGCTCAGCAACTGATAGCCATTATGAGGAATGGAATCAAGTCGAGTCAGATCACAGGCGTTTACGATGCTTCCCGAAGGGGAGCTGTTATTTTTGAATTCATTTGTGTGGTTGGCTTTCATAATGTTTGTTGTGTACAGGGCAGACGAACTTAGGAGGGAGGGAGGGTGGCAGGAAGGAAAAAAGGAGAAAGAAGGGAAGAAGAGAGAAGCTTCTGTGACACACCTGTTCTCTGCCACCGGTTTGCCCCCTGCTCCATCAGACCCTTTGTTTAGTTGAGCAGTGGGTTATCTTTTCTCATAGGGCACAAGCAGCTCTACTTCCTTGGCGTTTTAAGAACACGTTTACTTACGTAACTGGGTTCTGGAAATGGATCTCAGTGCAGCTCTAGTTAGTTGACTTCAGGAATTTTTTTTCAGTGTAGAGACATTGCAGCTCAGTTTCCAAGATGCTTCTCTTGAGAACTGTTGAGAGAAATCAGCCTACTTGGGAGATGACTTAATGGAGAATTGATAATGCAGTGATTTCACACTGGAGAGCATTATAACGTTAATTTCTGCAGTGAAGATAGAGCTGAATTGGTGAAGTTTTAAGTGGTCTGTCTTCATCTGATGTCTGGAAGAGTAAGTGAGGCATTTTCCATTTGGTTAATAACTTGGTCTCAGCTATTTAAACTATTCGTAGTGCCCTTTTTAGATAAGTGATTTTTTTTCCTCCCCAACCTGTGGAAACACAAAGACTTTACTTTCTCAGAAGTTGGTTTGAGATAAATAGGATGCATTAGCATCCCTGCTGCTATCAAGTCATAAATAAAAGTGAGAGGAGGAAGTAAGAGCTTTAATATCCCTAACAGACTCCTCCTTTATCACTGATGGTGTCGTTAACTTTACACTGAGAAATTCAATAGGGATGTCTGGGGACCTTGGTGGGATGTTCATGTAACTCTGTAGCCATCGTGGGTTTGCGCTGTGTTCGGCTTTCTTGAGCCGCTTTTGTTAATGAAGTTTGTTCTCCAAGGTGGCCAAGCAGTGGCGTGGCAGGGCCTTAGGACTTGGAGAGTGTGGGGGGTTTATTTTAACGAATACTAATAAGAAAAAAGAAGAAGAATATGCTTATTCATTTTCTAGTTACATGGTCTCAGGCATGACAACTCCATTTCTGTCGCCTTAACTCGTATAGAAAAAATGTATTACGTGCAGTTAGGGCAGTGTTCTCTGGAAACAAAGGGATTTTGTTTTCTGGAATTGTTGTTAGGACCCTGTAGGCTGGGGATCCTGGGGACGTGGCCAGCTGCAGAGGACACCTTATTCACAAAGACCACCATTCAGTCAAAACCATTTGGGTGTTAAAACATCCGTGTTTATTTCTAAGCTCAATTATGCAAGTGGGGCTGTGTGAGGTATGGAGACGTCTGTGCTGTGACTTACCATTGGACAGAAGGGCCCGCGCTCTGCTTTCTCTGCTGAGCTCTGGGCTCCCTGGATTGGCAGCACTAAACTGCTCCCGACAAGGTCTGGCCTTTGAATTATACCAGGCATCTCTCCTAAGTCCTGGTTTCTTTATCACTGGGGTCTAGCAGGCCAGACAAGGGTAAGTCTAGTTTTGAATCTATATACTGTTACCAACAAAACGCCGATTTTTGCCTAGTTTCAGAGACTTAGCTCTTCCAGGGCCCTGACGAATAGCATCCCTTCCACTCTTCGGTGCTGACAGCTGTCCTGTGGCATTTATCCTCCGTCCTCTGCCTCCGTTATCCCCCGTGTATCCCCTCAGACGCGTCTTTCTGCTCATCCCCTTGCTGGTTCTTTATGTCGCCGCCGCCCTTGTTCAGGTCTTCACTGAACCTCTCCTGGGTTATTGCGGCGAAACCCCCTGGATCTGCCCATCTCATGCCTCCCCTAGTCCGTCCTTCGCACAGCTGCCCACGTGGGCTTCCCAGAGGGGTGGTGGGATTTTGTTACTCCCCTCACTGAGAACACTCGGGGGCCTCCTTCATGCCTGTAAAACAGAACCGAGCTCTCCCTGCCCATGGAAATGCTCGGGGTCCCTCCCTCTCCGTGATACCTTCCTGATGGCATCAGCGGCTGCATCTTACTCCTTCAGCCAGCATTCTGTAAGGATGTGCAAGGGATGTAAAGGATGATAAAACACAGTCCCTGTTCCCAGTTGGAACCCGTTGCAGGGCTAGTCACATAAACCACCGTCTGTAATAGAATGTGTTAAATTATAAAATCGAGGTTTATACAAAGGGCGGGGCTCACAGACCCTGCACACAAACACCTTGAGGCAGGCTTTGTTTTCCCACCTTTTTTGTTTGTTTAAGCCTCTGTGTATCCTGTAGAGGTTTTGATGATATTGGTTACTCATTTGTGAAATGCATTTATTAGCAAATGATTCTGCTGCATTATGTCCTGGAAATAATCTGGTGACTTTGTGTTCCTCTGATGACTCTGCTTTCCTTTTTCTGTCACTCCTTCTTTTGTATCTTGGTTGGATACATGCATTAACAAGGGAAATACTGACTCCATTTAGGAACAGATCATTTTCTCAAACTTCACACTTTATATTTCAGCATTTCGAAAACTCTCAGTTGTCTTTCTTCTCAGGTCCTTTCTGTATGGAACAAATGTTAATTGTTTTAACTGTGGTTTTTCCTGTGAAACAGATTGTTTTCCAGTGGCCTCACCAGCCGGCACAGTGTCTGGGGGGGTGGCAGGTGCGCTGTAATTCTGGGATGAACACTAGAAAGAAAAACTCTGCCGGCTCCTTCTGTTGTTGCTCAGATTGATTTACTTAGAAGTTTCTCCGAAAGTTTTTCTCACTCACCTGCCAGACTTGATTTTGTAGACAACCATCAAAGGCATCATAGGAAGGCTTCTGCAAGGTGTCCGCTGTGAACTGTTAAGGAAACGTGCATTGCAAACTCTGGGGAGAGTGAGCTCCAATTCTGATTTGCCGCTCATCCGTCTCACTGCAGAGAACTACTGCAGTTTGTTGCATCCCCAGAAGGCCATTGTCTGAACCATGAACAGTGTTCCAGTGATTTGCAAGCTTCCTAAGGGTGAGGACCACATCTAACTTGTTCACCACATGCACCTGGCATCCAGGACAGCCCCTTGCTTACGAATTAAATTGGGAACGTGGACCAAAAGGCTAGTTTTCGCCTCTTATCAAAGTAAGCGGTTTAAGTGGTGTCCAGATGGTGACTAGCTGTCTTGAGTACATGTCGTGTGCAAGCCAGCCTTCTACGAGCGTTGTCCAGGGGGATGTGACAAGCAGCGACAGAAGATGAAATTTAACAAAAGGAAAACGGCTCTAGGAATCAGCAGTGTGCCCACTTCTTAGGAGGCAATCCCTTCCAAATCCTCCTTGTGCTTTTAAAGGTTGTTAGGATTTAGAAAATGAACATCTATCTGATAAGTCTTCTGCAGGCTGAAAGGCCATTCCGAGCCTCCCTCTGCTGAGGTTGTGCGTCCTGGCGGGTGCAGCCTCGGGTGATGTCTGAGCCTTTCAGCAGTCTGCCGCGCACGCGCGTGGGCACCGGACAGGGAGAGCTGCGGGGTGTGAGGGGTCAGAGGAGGTTGCAGATGGTCCTTGTAAGTTTCCAGCATCTAAGTCACACCCAGTGTGCTAAGGGGGAGGTGGTTAAAAACTCTTGGTTGGGGGATATTTTTTAAAAGTTAAAAAAAGAAAATATTTAGGAATGTTTTAGTGACTAGCGTGGACTGATTTATAAGCAGTCTTACAAAGGCAGAAAATGCAAGCTCAAGTGTTGACTTGAAACAGTGATGACAGCGGACAAACAAAACTCTTTTCTTCCAAGCGAAGTAACTCTTCCTCAAAGCTTCTTTCCATTCTTCTCATTCCCACATGACTTTGATTTCCTTTGGATTATTTTCAGGATATTGGTTAGAGTTTAAATCAAAGAATTCATTTTCTAATAGGATAATTTGATGATTTGAGGATTAGAATGGAAGAGAAGTCGAAGTGGGGAGTTAGAGATGCTTAATAAATTTATTTTTTCCTACAAACAGTATTCTGGTGGAAGTTACAGAATATGAAGGCTGTCTGATAATACATGGAGACAGTGGATTCTGTACCTTGAAGTGATGATTTCATATTATTCATATAAGTTTTGTAACATCCGGGGAAAACTGTGATGAACCAGAAAGCTACCTGAAGCCCCGTGCTGGTTCAAATCACTGTGAGGAGAATCATACTCAAAATGGATGAAGGACCTAAAGACTGCGATACATAACGTGGTATTTGGGAAGTATTTCGAGCTCCTGTATAAGGTGTGCAGCAGACCTCCCCTGAAATCACAGACATGCAGTTGTTTCATATTAGTAAAACCGCAACATGGGTATGGTCAATATTTAACTAACATGTAGGCCGTTCAAATAAGTTCTTTTCACTTAGAAATCAGCTCTGCCTGTATAAATAGACTATACTTTTTAAGAAAAATGTGGCCTTTTTATTTTATTTTTTCCGGCTTTATTGAGATATAATTGACATATTACATGATATCAGTGAACACGTCTGTCACATCACATAATTACCGTTTTGCTGTTACTGTGATGGTGAGAACAGTGGTAGTAATTACAGTCACCATGCTGTGCTTGAGATCCCTTGAGTTAACTCGTAATTGAAAGTTTGTACCTTTTGACCAACATCTTCCCATTTCCCTACCCGCTGGCCTCCGCAGCCACCACTCCACTGTTTCTGAGTTCAGTGTTTTTAGATTCCACATATACGTGAAATCATGCAGTGATTTATCTTTGTCTGACTTACTTCACTTAGCACGATGCCCTGAAGGTCCATCCATGTTACTGCAAATGGCAGGATTACCTTCATTTTTATGGCCAAAACATTCCTCTTTTCTTTTTTCTTTTCTTCTCTTTTCTTTTTTCTTTTC